GCTAAGTGTCTGTAATGGGGTGAGAGGAGGGGGGAGCCGCCAAACCTCGAACTGAAAACTACACTCACTATTGTCAAAGAAAATATACGTGAGTTCCACAAAGCAGACTTTTGGGAGCAATCAATTTTCAATATCATTCCTGTTCGTGGTTCTCGGAAGACACTAGTTACTCTGTTATAAATAAGGGTGTCAATTTATATTTACTTTTCATTTAATTTACGCGTAAATTAAATGATAAATAATTTATATTTATTATAAAGTAAACGGTAAATGAGACCCCTACTATTTGATAAGTTTTGTTTTTTGCATGTTATAGAGGTTTCATGTAATTTCTATAAGGTTTCTTTTGATACGCATGGAATCTACCTCTTGAAGTCCTGTGAAGTCTGGTGAAGTCTTGTGAAGTTTTGTGAAGTCTGATGAAGTCTTTTAAAGTCTCAGGAACTCCTACAAAGTCTCTGAAGTCTCAGGAGCTCCTACAAAGTCTCTGAAGTCTCAGGAACTCCTACAAAGTCTCTGAAGTCTCATGGAGTCCGTGAAGTCTCATGAATTCCGTGAAGTCTCATGAAGTCCGTGAAGTCTCACGAAGTCTGTGAAATCTAACGAAGTCTTTTGAAGTCCTATGAAGTCCCATGAAGCCATACGAAGTCTTACGAAGTCTTGCGAAGTCATTTGAAGTCCTATGAAGTCTTGAGAAGTCTTTTGAAGTCTTGCGAAGTCTTGTGAAAATATGAAGTCACTGCGGCTGAAGTCTGTTGAAGTCTTTTGAAGTCTTGAAGTCTTGAAGTCCGCTGTTTCCCCCTTGAGTAGAAACCAAAACACCATATATTCATGGTTAAATTTTCATCATTTTTCACTAACTTCTCAGATTTTTATCTTCAATGAAGGTGCTTGAGACCGTAATAGATTTCAATATGAAGGTATGGTGTTTTTTGGTATATTTTCATATAATTTTTGTTGAAGTTTGTCGGAAAAATGGTGAAAATTTACAATGAACAACATGTCAATACACAGGTAATAATCAAAAAGCTTTTGGAACCTGATAAATCGTATTTAGATCGATACTCTGACACTGCTCTTTCCAACAGTGAACATTGCAAGTCTCTATCTGCTTCTGTTTTCGAGATAATAATCGTCTTAGAGTTTTCTCCATCTATTTCTGGTGCCGACATTAGTTTTCTTCAAAAATATAGAGAATAAATGTAGCAAATCATTTTTGAGTTGCAAATAAGTACTTGTAAATATTATTTAGAACTCAATCACTTAATACAAAATACCTGCTTCTGAAGAGTTTTTCGAGTATGTTCTGCAATGGTACCCCACCTACTCATTCCGATAACAACAGGATCCCACTTGTTGTCACCTAGTAGCTTTTTACGATGAACTCCTTGACCGATAAGCTTCGATACACCACTATTTAAACCAGTAGTCAGCACCCATACATCTACAATATCAATTCATATTTAATCAGCTTCATGTTTTTATATACGACCAACCTTCTGTTGCTGCTATGTGACCAATACCATTCATGAATTCTCTTTCCAAACTGTCTTTCATAGTGAAATATTCAGCTCCACCATAGCAACTGACAATCAATTTAGGATTACTACCTACATTGTTAATAATCATTGCTATAAGTGTTTCAAGTGCATTATTCTCAGTACTGCATCGAATGAACTGTAAAAAGAAAACTCCGACAACAAGTATGATATCATATTTGTTTTAAATTGCCACATACTCGAGCACCGTTAGTCAATTGTCCGTATACGTTCACTGGTACTTCTTTCGCAAGTTTTGGTACCCATTTTTTTGGTTTAGTGGATTTTGGATCAACTTTACCAGTATAACTATGCTGACTTGCACGTCGACCACATACGCATTGAGTCTCTTCACTAACACTATTAGACACTGGTATTGAATAGACTGAACATGTGGTTCCCTTAAGCTTTCCATCATCTACTTGCTTTTTTACCAGATCAATCCATCTCTGTTTTGTGCACGAGCTAACAGATGTAGGTGCACCGCTTGGGATACTGTTATTCGAAGCCATCTACGAAGATTGACGACTCATCAAAGGCTACAAAGTTGCTAGACTACTATTGGTGCACACATCTAATGTTTACTTTCTACAAAACAGTCGAATGCCGACAAAAAACTTCAACAGAAGAAATAAAAAAGAATACCTTTTTTTTTCTCCTGCTTACGGCAATTTCTATGGCTACCTATTTTATTCAGCTCTATTTTTTCTCTTATGCTCTGGGTATTTTTTTAACAGAGAAACACTTTCATTATTATTTCAATTGCAGATCGTGTGTATTTATTTCTTCGCTCAAATTTTGTCTTTAATATTAGAAAAAGAGACTTTTTTCTTCCTAGCTAACAAAACGATGGCAACTCAATCTAGATGGGTAGGCGCAACTGAGTTGAAATTGATCAATACACGTACGGCTGCATTGAAGGAGTCAGAGCAAGCGCCTGGTAAATTGTTTGTAATTCTATGTAATATACAGTACGAGAACAAAAACAAAAATCTATTCTGACATTTATTTTTAATCACATAATTTTGATTAACAGGTTTCCTGAACGTGGTTCTATTGAAAAAAAATTGAATAGTTGGCGACATGTCTATGAAAAATCTGGTTTCCAGTTCTATAAGTGTATTATTGACAAGGCAGACATCAATAAACAAGAAAAATTTCTGGTTCAAGACACTCCAACATTTATTTTTATTCGTGATGGTGAGGTAATCAGTCGAATAGATGATCTTGAAGAATCAGATCCTACTATCGACAATGTCACACTGCCAGGAGAAGAAAGCAATGATGAAAAGAAAATAAAAAAGCGGCTCAATGAACTGTGCGTGAAACCTCAGTCAAAAGATAACAACGCTAATTGTCATGTATAAACTATAACATGAGAAAATTATGTGCAGATTTTCAAGAACAGAGAATTTCAGATTTTTCACACATCTATGATGGTGTCAGAACATTTAGGCGTTTAGAAGATGATGTTTCTGAAATCTCACTTTCATGAAAATCTGCCTTTTGCTGGTGTTGTTAATTGGTCTCTGTAGACTACCTCGAAGATACTCTTTTGGATATTTATCTTTTCTTTAAAGAAATACACTGTCATGCCAAACATTGGCGGTTTCTTATCTTTCGAACTTCTTCTCATCGATATTATTGATGTGCTTGATGGATTGAATATGATGAATAATGAAACTGTATCATGTAATTGGCATTTTGATACAAAAAGACCCTATTTTGATTTTAGCTTTAGGAAGCAACGCATCTGTTTGCATGAAATCATTCTCTATAAAAAAATGAAAGCAGCAAATGTAAAATTATTTGTATTCTTTTCATTTTTTCGAAAAAAAGCAAGCAGCATATATTGCTCACCTTATGTGATAAAATAATTTAAGATGAAATAAAAATAAAAGAATAGAAAAGTAATAAATACAAATGAGGGTGTTGGTGCAAGGAAGAAGAGGACACGGTAAATTCCGCTTTCCAGGAAATTCAAGTTTAAAAGCACTTCAAATAGAGGAAAATTTCAACGAACACTTAATGGGCTGGGTTCGGTTGGGATTAGAGAGTAGCGGGTCCGTCCAGACCCAGACCCGGACTCGGGTCTCGACCAAAGATGTCCATGGTGATGCTACCGCTGCCGCTACTGCTGTCACGCCGCTTCCGCCATGGCGGTAGCGGTGCGGCAGCGGCAAGTTTTGTTCCTTTATCGTCGCGATACGGCGCGGCAGTGGCAAGTTTTCATTTTTTACCGTCGCGGCAGTGGTTGAAATTTCCATTTTTTCCAAGAAAATCTAATACTTGAGAAGATTATTTTACTATGATTCAAAGTAAACCGATTTTTTTCTCAACCAGTATGTTTTCATTACACTTTAATCGTCTAATAGAAATATAAAGGTTAGCATCATGTAATTACACGATAACATTATGTAGGAGCATGTTACTAGATTGTGAAGAATTCATATTCTACCCCATTTATAATTTATATACATAAGAGACTATACACACGAAAATGTTCGAAGTATTATTAGGTGTAAACGGTTTTAAATGTCAAATATATCTCGAAAAAAGGAAATGAGCTATTTCTAATTCTCGTGCAAAGGAAAATTCAACCCAATTTTCTATTCGATCCTTAAATTTCAAAACATTTCGTGACATTTTTTTTAATTGTAAAATAACCGATAGAGTCACGAATAAGTATTGATAGCACAGATTAACGATGTATCGAATAAAAGCAAATACAAACAGAATAGACATAGTAACTATATTACAGTCATTTTAGTAAAGTGAAGAAGAGTGAATTGTTTTTCTGTTCATAAGTCAACTTATTATGATTGGCACAATCCACAAAACAAAGCACCATCTTATTCTATTTACAAATTAATTTTTCATGACCAAGAATTTGATTTATTTTCTGGATATAATGAATTTGATTTTTGTCTTTGCTTTAGTATAATATTACATGTGCTATTAAATTACCTTGAATGACTAGTGTTGATCTTTCACCACCATCAACGAATGATAAAGTTATTATCGATATATCTTCATTAACAACAGAAATCGATAGAGAACAGTTAAAATTAAAGTTTCGATTGGTACTTATCAAGATTCTTCTTTTACGAAACTATAAACCTCGTTTTCAAACACATACAAAAAATTTACTTAGAATGCACATAAAATTGATACATTCCGATATTTTATTTCAAATATTGTAATCTATATCGTTTCACTCCCTTACCACTATATAGTCACGACCGGCGAACTTTTCTTCATCTGCTCTAGCTGAATAGATCTCAAGATTTATCTATAGCACCTAAGTTTCTTGCCCAAGATTCTCAAGTACTTGATGCGTATATCAAATTATGCTTCCGTAGGGTCAGTTGCTTTCTCAAAGTTCCCATAATCTTTCGCTTTTACCAGGCTAAAATATCACTTATTCAGACGAAATAAGAGTATTCTATATGATCCATATAGTAATTTCTAACAGTTGGTGCAAAGTTTTTGCATTAATTTTCTTTTCAGTATAGTATGACAAAGAATCTTCATAGAGACTTAATATTTTTCTTGTTAGAAAGAGCAAGTTGTCTACTACAAAAATATGGAAGAATATTTCATTCAAAATGTTTACTAGAAACAAAAAAGCCTTGAGAATGAGTTGTATCGAAAAAGTGTGTTTCAATTTAACTCAAAATTAAAGATGAGAAATGCATTTGTTTAATTTGTTTTGCACTCGGCTTTCGATGTTTGGAAGCACGGTATATGTGAGTCTGACCAATGCAACGTGGGCTTTCTAATCATACAAAAACATTCGAGTTACAAAGCTACAGGCTTCAAAGGAAACAGTTTCATTAAAAAAAAAGTTGATTTTTCGTCTAGAATATCCAATTAAAGTTTTCATACGATATCTAACAGAAAAGCTGAATTCTGTTTTATATAATGTACTTTTATAGAGGACTCAATAAGCTTTAATTGTATATAAAATAGGCGGTTTCTGCTAACTTTGATGTTAGAAGAAATCTTATTTTTCGAAGTCATTTATTAGCTGTGAAAAATTTGTACTAACAAAATATGTTAGAAAAATGTTGAATTCGAACTCAACCGGTCACTTGAAAATCTTATTTTTCCGCGTTTACAATGCCTGATCGTAGCGCTACAAAACCCGATAAAAGCCAGAAAAAAAGATCAACTTTCTTTGCAGATGGAATTTCTTCTTTTGAATTCCAGAAGTTGAAAGGCACTTTTCCAGCCCAACGTGTTCTTAAGGCTTTTTAGTTTTTGGTAAACATTTTGAATCAAATATTTTTTTACACAATTTTGTATTAGACACTTAGCTCTTTCCAACGAGAAAAGATCAAGTCTCTATAACGATTCGTTGCCACGCTATACTGACAAGAAAATTAATTCAGAACTTTGGCATCACCCATTATTTAATTTAATATTTCAAGTGTTCAGGCGTTCTCGGTCATTCGCTGTATTGTTTGTTCTTCGATTGAAGCTCTAACAAATTCATGATTCTTATCCATTTCGTCACATACTGATATTCGACGTAGTAATGTCGCGGTAGCGGCGCGGAAGCGGTAGATGTTGTTCCTTTAGCATCGCAGCACGGCGCGGCAGCGGCAAGTTTTCCTTTTTACCGTCGCAGTGCGTCGCGGCAGCGGTAAGTTTTCTTTTTTTATCGTCGCGGTGCGTCGCGGCAGCGGTAAGATCTGAAGTTTCTAAACTCATCGCGGTGCGGCAGCGGTAAGATCTGAAGTTTCTAAACTCATCGCGGTGCGGCAGCGGCAAATTTCCAGCCGCGATGGACATCTCTGCTCTAACTTGCTCCTATCGAAAGTTATTCAAAAAACATCCGACTGCTCTGACTTCTGGCGCCGATATTAGTCTGACGGCTACTTTGAGTAGGACTCTCTTTGAAGTACGACAGTTCGAAGAAACCCCGGATTTAATATGACTAATTTTAAGCTAGAAGTTCAACTGAACCCGTATTTTTCTAGGGGGCACTCTAATAATCAATATTGTCGGCTGATGCGTCAGCAAGCGAACGAATTGTTTTAGTAGCAAATTTAAGGACTAGGGTGTGTTTTGATTCATTAACTCTCAGAAAGCTGAATATAAGCTCGTTTTTTCGAGAACACATGGATATCGCTGCCATAGTATAGTTCCTTAAGTTTTTGTTGACTATCAATATGGAATTGTCAATTTGATTAGATATATTTGTGACAAAAATGTTCATCCGAACCTACATATTATTGTGCACAATGAGATTAGCGCTAATATCAGCACCCACACATCTACTCGCTCTTTTGAAACATAGGATACTAACTATGTGGAAGTCAAGGTTCAAGCGAGTCAATCAGACGATTGTTACTTGTTATGATATAAAATAACTTTCTTGTACATTCGAAAGAAAACATTGAAGATTCAATTTGAAGTCATATGGTTACGTCAACAAGACACGCGTCTGAATCTTGATACCTTTATAAATATTCAGCAATAATTGTGCATATTTACAGATCCACCACCAGAGAATAACACATGTTTTTACTCTTTGTTTGTACAAGGCAACTTTTTGGCAATGTAGGATGAAACAACAAATAGGTATATGATATTGCGTAGTTTCGTAACAAACTGACTTAAATACATTCGGACCTAACGAATAATGACGATTGTTAGAGATAATAAATTACATTGAAAACAAATTGAATAAAACTGAATATTTGTTGAATAAAAGTTGCGATTAAAAAACTTGATAAAGTTCTATATTATATCATGACATATAATATGATAGAAAACTAAATAAAATACAGATTAAATGAGCATATAATATGATATTTACTCTTGTTTAATAAATATTTGTTATGTTCTCTTTTATAATAGTATATTATTCTATGATTTATTATCATAATGTTTTTTCTTGTCAAATATAAAAATAAAATCAAAAGTAAACAAGGAATAAATCCTATTGTATAACGAATGTTTTTTCTCTTATATAAAACAAATGATTTTGATGAAGATCATATAAAGAGTAAATCGTGTCATATTCTTATTCATATAAACTTCAACTTTTATTTCAAACTTAGAAAGAGCAAATGTTATAATCATAACGTAATCGAATACGAGAAATATTTCTCATATTGTATACGTTACAGAAACGAAAAAAAAATGTAGCAAAACTTTTTTCTTGCATTGATAACGTGAAGTACTCTTAACCTTTTGGTGTATATTATAATTATTGTTGAAAAAAAAGAACAGTTTATATATGTATGGATGGTAGAGACATATTCGTTACGATTGAATAAAACAAAAACGAACATTGTGAAAGATAACAAACTAGAATAAATAGAGTAAGTAGAATTGAATACATACAATAATTCATTTATCATAAATTTCGTTTCTTGTTTTCTGTTGCTTCATGACAAGGTCTTCTTTGATCATTATTTTCATTTGTTATTTAGTGATGACACTTAAATAGTTCAAAATCTGTTTTATCACTGTGAACTAATCTTAACATTACAAATAAGTAGTGTTGATAGTTTTTTTTTGATTAAAACTTTCAAAATGTTTTCACAGTTGAATGATGTTAAGGAAGTAAAAAAACTTATTGCCTTCAGTCAATGTTGACGATAATAACTAACCAGATAGAGACGTAACATTATCATTTAAAATCTTTGAACACATTTTCAAAATTAATCGATTAACATAATTTTTGAAAAGTGCTAAGACATATTGATCAAATATTACTTAAATAGAATTGTGCACATGATTATTTAATTCAGGGAAATATGAACTATAAAATTCTTAAATAAATCTAATATTTGAGGATATTATATTCACCACAAAATGTTTTATTTTACCTACTGTCCATTCCAATAAAGAAGGCGAATGGGTATTTTTTGAGTAACTTTTGATAGGTACAAGATAGAAAGCTGCAGTTTTCATTGTTGAAAAGAGCAAATGATAACGCATCGAATCATATAAGACAATGACTTTCAAATTGGACTTTTTGAAACGTTTTGCAATAGTTGAACAAAGAAAAGCCTTAAAAACCGGTCTAATTTTTCCAGGAAACAAACTGAACAAATGAGATTTTTTTTACAGAAATTGCTGGAAAAGTGGATTAGAATTGTTGAATATGATACTTAGAATTCTCAAAGTAGTAAAGCTTTGAATCAAACCTTATACAAAATTTTGTAGCTCGTCAGCTGCCTACTCTAATCTCCTTCTCAAAGTTTAAAATTTGTTCTATATTCATAGAGCGATAGTCTACTCTTTCAAAATGACCATAGATCACTATTTATTTATGAAATAAATCTCAACAAATTTACATAAATCGATGCGCTGGATAGACCTCTTTTCAGTGGGGAAAATCGCAGCTCTCTATCTTGTTCATTTCATAAGTTATTTAAAAAATACTCCCATCTAAGCAATATTTGTTTCTCAATGATTATTCTATTGAAAGAAAATCGTAATTTATTATATGTCTGATATAAATCAATAATTCGTATTTAGATATCTTGGAGAGAAAAAGAAAAGATTCAAACGAATAAATGATTGTATTTATTTTTTTGATATGCTTATGTCTTGGTTTAGTTTGTATTATTCGTTGTTATTGAATTTGATTAATAATGACTCAAGCTAATCATATAATTTTTAAGCCAAAACAATTGATTTCAAAAGAAGTTTTAACAAGTAATGATCAATTAAATAGGGAATTATCTCCTAATCGCCAAACTATCCAATATCAAGTAAAAACTTATGTTAATAAAACAGATTATTCTAATAGATGTCAAACAACTAAACGTCGTTGTCAGTATTTATTTAATGAATTATGTTTTTTTTTCTATATTCAATTTATTATTGAGATAAATTACCAATGAAAATCAATTCTGAAATAACTTCAAGTATGTCATCAATTAATAATACAGAAATAGATCAAGGAGTACATATTTCTATTGATTTACGTAAATTGATAATCAAAAGAATTATTCTCTATATAAATGAATTTATTTATCTAGTTTCATATAAAAATTCTCCGATAAAGAGAACATCAAGTCAAATAGCAATAATAGATAACAACAATAATTCAACAAATAAATCTTTTCAAAGAATAAATTCTCAACGGAAACGAATATCACATTCAATCAAGTATGAATTTGTAAATATTAATGTTAAAATTTTATTATTTAATAAAATAATTCTAGTGAATTAACTCGTGAATGTGCTATTTGTTTATTAGATCAACCAATTTATTTTTTTGAAGGATTTTATAGTAATCAATGTAAACATTCTCAACGAACAATATGTGATACATGTATTTATAATCATGTAAAATTTTTTGTTGAAAATAAATTAAATACAAATATAATTTGTCCTGAACCTAATTGTATGACTATATTTACTTTTGAAAGTATTCGTTATATTCTTCATATGGGAAATAATATCGAATTATTTGAACGATATGATCAACAATTAACACATAAACATCTTGAACAAATTCAAGAATTTGTTTGGTGCGCACATAATGGATGTGGTTCAGGACAATTACATTATACAGATATATATTCAAATTCTATAGTTACTTGTATTAAATGTAAAAAACAAACATGTGCATATCATCGTATGAAATGGCATAATGGAATGACATGTCAAGAATATGATCTATCTACTGATGATAATACACGATTATGGCTTAGAAAAAATACAAAAAAATGTCCGTTATGTCATTCATTTATTGAAAAAATATTTGGATGTGATCATATGACATGTACTATATGTAAACATCAATTTTGTTGGATATGTTTGGCTGATTATCGAAAAATTCAAATTTATGGTCGAAAACAACATATGAAATATTGTACACATTATTCTCTTTATTCTCATTCGAACAATCATTTTTATAGACAAAGATCAATTATTTGTACTATTTTATAGTTATAATCAAATATATCTTCATATTCGATATATATATATATTAAAAATCTTGTTTTTTAAATATTTAATTTCGAAACTAAATTTTTGTAAATAACAAATAGTCAACGCTTATTTTCATTAAAAAATTAACCGAAAGCTAGGCATTTTACGTCGAACCTTACCTTCAAGAAAACACCTCTTCTCATATTCTGAGTTCTTCGTAAAAAGTGATAATCGGCAGGGAGAAGATAATGCTACAAAGACTCATATACTTCTTCTCAGGTTCGCAGTCAGACAAAAATTTGGAAAAACGCGTTTAAAAGCTATAGAAATTTGGTCGTTTTCGAGTGCTAATCGCGGTTCCCGATGATCAGCGAAAAACGGTCAGAAAAACAAGGCGTGAAAAGGATCGACTTTTCCATAATCAACTTTTTTCGCCGCATTTTTGTTAATCCGCCTGCAAAAAAAGATCCTGAATACGTGTGTAAACGCTTAAAAAGTTTAGTTTTTTACCGTTTACACGCGTGCAGAGAGCAGTGGGCGTGAAAACGTTCATATGTTGCCGATTCTACGCATGTGCACGGATACAAAAAGTGGAAATATTAAATCTGATTATGTACACGCTCGAAATTCAAACTTTTTAGAAATTTTCACGACCACTTTCCCGGACACACGTTTTAACGCCCAAAAATTCGATCTTTTGGGTGTTTAAACGCGTTTTTCAGACTCTTTGTCTGACTGGGTCACAGTCAAATTTGTTGAAGTTTTTCATAAAATATACGACAATTATGAGTAGCGATTGAAATATAAGTATTATAAGAATTATATGTTCCTTAACTCTTTTGCTTCTGAAGATACATGTATGTGTGTAAATGTATTTATTGAATAAAGACTACAGCAATATATGTTTTAATCGGTTAGAAAGGCTTCTTATTCTTTGTTATGTGATGTTTTTTCTGTGTATTAACTATGTTCAGTAGGTTCTTTTCCACTTCTCGCCCGTAGTATATATACATATATACTGTTCGAGCAGTAAAAAATAAGAGTAAGAACGAATCAAAAGCATTCTTCTTTAGGATTAAGTGATGTAATGACTGATGGGATTTTTTCTTTCATTCATTGTACAGATGTGAACAAATACAATAAAGTCGAAAGTTTATGATATTTTAAAAGTCATAGGAAGAGATATGATTAAATAAGAGACACCAGCAAAAGATAAGAGTAATGAATCCAAGCACAGTGTTCGATCGAGATGAAGATGATAGAAATTCACGTATATTATTAGCAAATATTTCATGCATTTGACTTGTGAAATGGACAGAGTCAATGAAAACATAAGAATTTGGCTCTTTGCAGATTTCTATAATGCTCGAGTAGGATGTATTCCAGCAATTGTCTTTACTGTTTTTAAATGAATACATCGATGAATCAGCGATAATTTTTGACACGAGCGAATGGATATCAAATATGCGTAAAGACACGTTAGTGTTGATAGTTTTCAATAAATTAATTGCAGTTAACAAATTGCTATTAAATTGAAGCGATGTATCATTAAAATACGATTCTTGATTGAGTACACGCAAGATCGGTATTGTTTGCAAAGGAAGTAGGTTAAAAACTAAAAGATGCTTGATATTCATCTTAAGTAGATCCATGATGCAATTAGTCAAACTTGCAACGACTAAAGAAGGACGTACTGTCTTATTGTAACCGAAATCATTATAAGCAATCCAAATAATAAAAAGTGTGCGATTCAAATTGATTGTATTCATATTAGTCTTATTAAAATAGCTCATAATTTGTTGGCGGACGCCAGGTATTGATAATGATCCGATTAATATACTTGGAATAAAGTTGCTATCAGTAGTGGCAGCAGCATACGCATGATTGATAACATTCGATATACCTAATCTGTCGATCCATATAGGACCATTGGAGAATCGACCTTGATAATATGGTACAGGAGGAAAAAAGTGATCTGTCAAATTATAAAAATTTCCTGTATCTGAATGTGAATCCCCAAAAACCACTACTGTATCGAAGAAAATTTGTTGAGTATTTATTTGTTCAGTGAATAGCATAGTTAGGAACCCACAAATAATTGATGAAATCATATTATATATGCTTCTTAACTTCGTAGTAAACTGGTGTAAATATGTTGTTCTTTAAACTTCTGCTTCAATCCTATATTAACCAATTAGAGTAAGGTAATGATTTGGAGCGTAGTAATTAATATAAGCAATGTTCATTACTTATTTGGGTGTAGGTATAAATAATGGTAAGACTATTACCGACAAGGGCTGTCAAATCTCTTGATTTCTGGCTTGTAGGCTTGTTTGCTGATTTCTCATAGTTTTTAGGAGTTTTGTCACTATGGATTTAAGCAATATTCTACATTAAATAAAAAGCAAAAAATGCAACTATCACAATATTTCATAGATGCAAGAATAGATAAGCAAACATGTTTATCCTTCTTAAACTTTTTAAAACAAAGATAACAATCTTATCGTAGAGATTTTGTGTAGCTGTTAATGAAAAGAAATAATCGGCTGTATAATTATCAAATACATACTTTACATGACGATGAAAATAGTGAAATCTGAGATGTATTAGAAACATTTTTTATCACAATCTTTTACTACAACACGTAAAAATACTGATTCTATTTCACTGATAAAAGTTCGAATGACAAATTGCTTCACAGTTCTGCATGACAGTAACTTAACTATATTTCTTAAATTATAATCTTATCATCACGAAATTGGTAGCAGAGAGATATCTAAACAAAAAATTTTACTTTATTTAGAAACAATTCAACCAAAGAGTAATTTCAGTTCGATAAAATTTACTGTTTTACGTCGAGAAATTCCTCTTTTTTTTTAATTCAAATTTACAGCTCTGCTACCCACACCTTGTTTGACTATTTCAAACCAATCTATTCTATATTTATCATAAGATGGCTATCCTCGTTGAACATCTTGATAAGATTTTCAAAAGATAATTTGCATGTGTATATCTTGATGAGTGTGGACGTAAAGTGCTTATCTCTTACATGATAGATATGTCTGGACTGTAATATACCACTATGCGTCGTTGATTGCTTCAAAAACTATCATACAAACACAGACTACTAATGTTTTTGGAACAAAAATGGAATTTCGATGTGGCAAAATTTGATTTTCCAAAAAAACAAGCCAAGAGCTCAAGATTAAAATGAAAATAAATGTCATAATATGATTTTATAGAAAAAAAAAATAATAGATTTATCTTGGTATGTACTAAAGATCTGATTCAAGATCTTGTTACCAGATAGTATAATACCTTGATCTTAAATTTTCAAGATTGTATCTTGGACAAGATCTTGCTTATAAGATGTTTGAGTATGGTATGCTTTATTATCACCTCTGCATGGAAGATCGTCACAATTACTTTTCTAAAAAATGAGAAAAATATGCTTGAGTGTTTCTTCTCTTTCAGAAGAAAAATTTATAAAATAAACATATGGTAAAATTTTTCTTCTATAACCCAAGATGTAGAACATATTAATCAAAGAAATAATTTGAAAATGCAACTATGCAGAAATACTCATATGCATTGTTCAAGACTTTCTCTATTCAGCAACACTTTTTGCTTATTGTGCCTATTCCAAAGAGTGTATATGAGAAGGTGATACATCATATCTCGATCTCGATTCGAACAATAGAACACAATGTATCGTAAATTTGAAGTTCATCATTGATTTCATTGCACTGTAAAACTTGTACTTGTTGATATTTCGAAATTTGTTTTAGTTATATTTATGCTTGAGGATTTCATTGAAAAAATTGAGTGACATATTGATTACAGTATAATTGTTTATAAAAATTTTATCAACTCGAAATAACAAAATACTATCAAAAGTTATGTTTGTTTTAGCTAGACATTGCAGAAATACTTTCATTTAATTCTCCGAAACCATTGAATACACTTTTGAGCACCTTATTAGATTATGAGAAAATAAATTCTATTTTGAAATATCATATAGCATTTCTTTGTCATTTTTCCAAGTTTCATGTAATGAATACAATAATATATATCTATCGTTTGATTTCGTTCTACAAAAGAGAATATAATAAAATTGTTAAGTTTTCTCATTTTCTTTTTTTTCATAAATTTTAATTACTTTAGTATTACTATACTTCAATAGAGCACTACACACTACTGATAATTTAAATCTATTGAAAACAAATAGACGACAATACTTACTTATGTATAAGTGTCAGAATTTTTTCGAATGTAAAATTTATATCTGATGTATATTCTCAGCATACATGTTTTTAGCGGATGATCAAGGTAGATTTTTTTAGAAAATATTATGCAAAGAAACATTCTAATATGAAAATATATCTGCCATTCAGCTGAATCAACAAAGAGAATAACATGAAGAAAAAAAACAACACTTGTAACCACGTAATTCAGAATAGATTATATATGTAAATAATTGTTTTTGTTTGCACTTATTATCATTGAACTAATCAAAATCGAAAGAAATGCAACTACATCTACTCTACAAGAAGATGAGAAACAAGCATGAAAACAAAAAAAAATAATAGACCTCGAAGAAGACTCGAATGGTTAGAATTTTTCAATCTTAATCAATCAATATGGTATAGAGTTTGATTAAGAGAGAACTTCTAATCTTACAGTTGATGTTTGTAGAAATAAAAGTAAGCTCTTATTTTGATTCATTGAGAATATATCAAACAATAAATGGAAGTGCTTTTGCATTAACTTGTATCTGTAACTATTAAAACTTTCTGATATATATAAATATGTTCAGAATTCACTATCTTTAGAAGATAAAACAAAAATAGCAAGACAGTAATGTTGTATCTTATTCGCATTGATTTGTATTTATGTATTTACGACAATAAAAAATACGTACGGATAGTGTTATAACAGTATGTATGCACAGAACCAGAATGAATAGGTGTGGATGTAAATCTAAATGTGAGAGCAAAGGATTCTTGTTTGCATACTTA